TATATGTATGTATATACATATATGCAAACATACATGCACACACGTGCGTCCATTTATTTATAAGTCCTTTCGCCGGACTCCAGCAGGGCCATAGCCTCCTGGTGTCCGGAGAGGGCGCCGTCGCCGCCCCGTATTCGCGGAAGGAGCGACCTTCAGGCAGGTCGCCTCGTGGCGGGTTCCCCGGGCGGCGTGGTGGGCGCCTCGACAATGGGGCAGTGCGGGGCGTGCAGGCGAAGAGGCCAGTGGTGAGGCGGGCAATTGTATGCAGGGCAATGACGTCACCGGGCGGCTTCTACTCACGGGAAGGAGTCACTTGAGGGATGCGGAAACAACAATGCTTTTGTGCCGGGTTGGATTTGCAGCGACCGTCTTCCTCTGTTCGCATTCAGACGGTTTTGGAGCATTGTCTCACTCAAAGGGGAGCTATGCAGAGGCAGAGGCCAGGATTTCTGCGGTTTTTATCATCGGTGAAATCGGTAAAAGCAGTCGCATTGCCGTGATCACGAACACTTCAGAGGGTCGTTGTTGGTGCGCAAAGCGTGCGTGTGTGCTCCAAAGGAGGCTCCTTCATCCGTCGGCGATTATTAATTACGACGGTCATTATCGCATCACATCGCGTTAGCAACCGCCCATTGACTCACTGTAGCGCATGCCTGCAATGGCACTGGGCGCCCCAGTTGATGCAGCGCGGGCGAGGGCGGCGTGCGTGCTGCTGACCGGCCGAAAACAAGGTCTATAGACATGGCAGTCGCGTCATTAATCGACCTCTCTTGAATTAGGAAGCAGAAGCTTCCTAATAATTGCTATTAATACTCAATTAGGAATATCATAATTGTCTTGGCCATTTTTATTAATTTTCAACCATTGACTCCCCAAGAATTAGATTATAAGGATTCATTTACCCTAATTTATTGAGGCTAAAGGCATATAAAATTATTTTACTGGTTCATTGTTGATATTTTTTGTATTTTTCTTTTCTTTCTTAATGTTTCACAATTTTCAAAACGTCATAACGTCATGTCACATATAGGTAAATCAAATAAGGTTATAGGTTGAACAGTCTGATTGATAGATGTCGGAAACCTGAACTATTTTATGGTGTACGTATGTGACATTCTTTAAAAACACGCACACACACGGTCGCACGCACACACACGGTCGCACGCACACACACGGTCGCACGCACACACACGGTCGCACGCACACACACGGTCGCACGCACACACACGGTCGCACGCACACACACGGTCGCACGCACACACACGGTCGCACGCACACACACGGTCGCACGCACACACACGGTCGCACGCACACACACGGTCGCACGCACACACACGGTCGCACGCACACACACGGTCGCACGCACACACTCTCGCTCTCACTAACTCTTTCTCTCACTCACTCACTCACTCACTCAAATGCACACACACACACACACACACACACACACACACACACACACACACACACACACACACACACACACACACACACACACACACACACACACACACACACAAAGAGTTTAAGGTGTTTGTATTTTAAATATAGTAATCCTTTTATAAATCACCTACCTTGTTCTCCAGGTGTGGCAAGAGGTGAGTGAGAGTGGACGTGACTTCGTAAGGGGCGTGCTTGAGGTGGATCCTCAGGCGAGACTAACTGCAGTGGAAGCTCTGCGTCACCAGTGGATCTTAGCCAACCACTCTCCGAAGACGAGACAGGTAAGTGTGTCCCTTCACTGTTAGTTTGGTATTTCATTCAGTTATTTTAGTTGCGTCTTTGTCTTCTGATATGGGCTTTCAGTTGTAACCCAGTGTTTGAAAGGTTTTATTGATATTTTCTATAGAATTCTTTATAAATCTGAATGCCTTTGTAAAATCTAGTTCTGGTAACTATTTTTGCTGTTTAATTGAGGATAGAGTGTGGCAATTGAGGTCATTCTTTATGATGTATGAGGAAGTGTTTTAATTATTTTTCCTTTTTTGCAGGCATCATCTCCCGGAGGGTCATGGGGCAGGCGTTCCTCATCACGTTCATCACATTCATCTCGTTCAGCAAGATCAGCGACTTCTCTGCGCACAGATCGAAGACGTGTCAAACCTCAGGAATTAGAGAGGCTCAACCAGACTGGAAATTCATCAATAACACATCCCACACATCGTGCTGTCTATATGTCCTGAGAGAAAGTGTTATATTCTAAAAAAATTAGGTAAATTTCACAATATATTTATAACTGTCAGAGGAAATTATCTTTTTGTGAACTGCAGTTCAATTGTACTAAGTAACAAGTGATTTATATGAAGACATTGGTTTTTATATGATATGCATTTAGAGCTAACAGTATTTGATTAGTGTTTTGTTTGTTGCCCTATACTCTCTACATACATATACATCCATAACTATTTTGATGGTGAAGATCTCTTAGTTGGTGCAGTTATAATATTGTCCTGTAGTACAAATTACATCTCTGAGATTGAGTTCCAGTGCTGAAGATGCAACAGAAACTCTTACAGAATATGAATTCAAATACTGTAAAGAAAGTTCTTGTATTAATAACTGTAGAACTGATTGTGTTTGCTCTGATTGTACAATGCAGAATTTATTGAATTTCTCATATTTAGTGTTGGTATTTGTGGAATTATTACTCAGATATTATCAAAGCTCAAAACTATTACTGAGGCATTTTGTTTACTTAAAGTCTGCTCCTGATGCATTTAGTACTTAGTGTTGTGGTTGGCTTGAACAGTATTCCCAGCATTATATCTGGATTTTTGTTAAATGTATTGAGAAGTGTTGGCATAGATGTCTCTGCATGTGTGTTTGTCTGTGTGTGGATGTGTGTATATAGCTAGTATGGATTTAGAGAAGGAATATTTTTTTTAAAAGAATATATTGATAGGTTAAAGGTTATAGTGCTATATATAGGATTTGTTTTGAATATTTTGTACATATTTGTAAAGAAGTGAATACTTTTGAAGGAATTATCAATTTTACAAATAGCATAAATGGAATTCACAAGAGAAAAAGAGGATCAAATACTATATGTGCATCTCTAGTAAGAGGAGAAGGATGTGATTCCATTTTGGAGAACATTTGTGATAGTTCAAGAAGTTCTTTTAAGAAACTAAACAAGTCTATTGTAGTATTCCTCCTTTTTTTGAAACTGAATTTGTGTAGCAGATGGTTCCATATTTTCTTACTCTTCTTTGGCTGTCAATGATTATTTCTCCTTAAAATGGTTAAAGTGCTGAAAATTAAGCCTGAGCCAACGTATTTTATTGTATTCGCAGTATTGCTATAAATGATAGTTACCTTAAGCAAGAAACTCTATGGAACTAAGTTATCTGAAGTTTATTAAAATGAAGAAACACATATATTTATAATTTTGCAGAAATTACAAATATAGCATTTATACTAACTGTGACATACTGTATTCAGCCATGGGTAAAAGTTCATGCTTAAAAAGGCTCAAGTAAGTTGATGAGATTAATGTTTGTCTAAAACTGAAGTTGGTGATTTTAACCTTTAGCTAAAGATGTATATATGTTTAATTTTCCATAAAACTGCTGAATTTTGTTCTTTTGCTGATCATATTTTTAGTTTTGATACCATGACTATCATCTTGATTTGAAGAGGGAAAAATATGGAGTGGTTTCTAAATACAATTTATATGAATACTGGAATAAAGTTTTATTATTATTGTTTATAATTTGTGGCTCAGTAGAAATGTCTACTCTATTTTTGGGGTAAAGAGTCCTTACTGTGGAGGTCTTTGAAACCATGTCATTTTATTTTTCAAAAAGATATCCAGTGAATTTGATAAAACAACTGAAATAAATGTGTGGATCCCCTCCATCTCAGGCATTATTCTTTGGCATTGAAATGTACATTTTAATATAGGATTGTTGTCAGAAATCTGTATATATTCTCTTACTTTTCTTGTGAATATTCCTTAATGTTATGTTGTTATATTCCATGTTACTCCTTAATGTCATAATTTCTCCCATAGAATAGCACTTTCTGTAATGCTCATTGAATGGTGGTTTGATTTTGTGACTTGTTTTAAGGACTCGTTTTAAAATCTGGACCATATTTTCAAGTCGGTGAATGGAATTCGCATGACGTTTATATTGCTAGTTTGAGTCTCCAAAAGAAGTAATTAATATATTAATAATTACTTTCATTGGATTACTGGGCGGGTGACTGATTATGATCATCTTAATATATACTCTCTGATATTCAGTAAAATAGATCATACTCGTTGAAGCTGACGTAAACAGTTTGAGATTAATAGACTAAATTCATTTTTATGACCTCATAATATTTATTCACTGTATCTCAGATAGCAATTATAAGCTGAACACAAAATGGGTTTGGTGACTGTGCATGAATTACATAACTATATTTGGAAAGCTACAAAAAGATTAGATTATTTTTAGTCTTTTCTAGTTCCCCCTTTCTTAATAACAGATGTATATGTATATATAAATATACATTTCTATTTTATTTGTAGAGAATATATTGAAATACCTTTTTGAAATTGGTATAATTTATTCTTAACATATAGCAAAATAAGTTTATTTTGTATTTATTACTGATCTATAGTGATATTCTTTTCAGTTTGTTTTAAGGATATGTTTCTTCATAGATAATTGATAGGCCTGAAATTGAATAAAAAGATTTCCAAAGATTTTTGGTATAATTGGAAAATACCATAACGGCTTGTAGTAATTCATTGCCCGGCTGTGCCAGGTTCAGAATATAGCATTTTTATTTTGCGTTAGGTATGGATTATTTTAAGAGTATTTTATTTTATGATATTAGAAGAACTTAATAAGTCATGTGTAGTACAATATTTATCGTCTCTACTTTTATTTAGTTCAAGATATGATTGCTTGAATTTTGAAGGAGATATGCATCATTATTTTACAAATGCTATTCACTAAATATTTATTTTTTGTGAACCTAAACATTTGGAAATAAAACGTGAATAATAATGTTTTCTTTTTTATATTCCTGAAAAAATTATATCTCTCAACCAGAATATGAAATTGATCAGTTTAAATTTAACTAATAAGAAAAATGAACATTTATTCCAGAGGAAATTGAAGTGTTACATTTTTTGTTAATTTTAATAGGTGCTCAGAGACTTTTGTTGTACCTTTTGATTTTCTAGAAGACATAACCAAGCCTTAACCCATTCACCCCGGATTTATGTACTGACCTCTGTAGTTTTTGGTGAATTTTGTTACATACAGTTGGCTCCACATGTACTCAGCCGGCAAGGAGTCTATCAGTAGGCCCTAGTTACTGACCCTGATTTTCCCATTCATTGAATTGGCGGGAAAATTAATAGCATTGCTATCGATACTGTTATTATTGTTACTTATGTTATGATTATTAAATAGCCATTAGAATATTTTAGACAATGAAATGATACAAAAAACCCTTTCCTAAAGTGAAGGAAAAGGGCAAACAGGTGTAATAGGTAGTTCTTGATAACTGGCTGTTTGGTGATTAAGAACTTGTGGAGCCATCTATGTGTAAATACAATAAATAAACGTGTCTCAAAGTGGGTACGGCATCTATTCTTGCCATATGTGGCGAATGGGTTAATTGTGTTTACTATGGCTCCACATGTCCATAGTCACCAAGAAGTCTGTACTAATACTACCTATCTCATCTTTTCAACCCTTTCCTTGGGTTTTGGATTTTTTTTGTATTATTAGTATTTTAATAACCTAATAATCATGTTAATAATAAAAATAAGAGTATCAATTTTAATAGCATTGAAAAATCCTGAAAATTCAAGGAATGCAGAAATCAAGAAGCTGAGCACTTGAGGCATTTGCAACAAAATTCACAGAAAACAGTGGACAGGACATTTACTAACATACCATGGCTTTATCTTTCCTCTTTGCAATACTTTAAAAAAAATCTTAGTTGTATTGAATGAAGAGAGGAACAGGAGAAGGGGACTGAGGCTCAATGTTGGGATCTCCTCTTGCCTCAACTAATTGTGCATGGTCTTTTCTTCCCTCCTTTGTCATATGATCACTGAAATCTAAGACATTTGTTCTAATATAGGACTTCTGTAAACCCTTCCCACCACAATACTTTATCATGGTGCTATATGACCTTTGATGTCTAGCACATTTGTTTGTTTAAAAACTTAAACATTCTTCCCTCCTCAGGTGCATATGTATTCTTCTTGTGATCTAATTTCCTCTTTGTTTATTCCTACCTTCACCCATTTACTCATCCTCTCCACCTTTACCCATTTTCATCCTTTCCAGTACAATCCTACTGCTGCATGACTGTTGATGTGTAGCACATAATCATTAACTCGCCTCCCCTTTTTCTCGTTACTGATACTATGCGTTCCTATAGTGCTACATGACCTTTGATGTCTAGCACATTTATTTTGCTTTTTAACCATTTTCTTTTTCTTCCTTCCTTTTCCTTCTCTTCTCAAATCTCTCCTGTACACTTCCTAAAGTGTAAGAGCTGTGTTGAAAGGCTGGCTTCGTGTAGGTCCTGTAGCCTTGGGGATCCACAGACATGGCATTCCCTTGGTTTATCATCTAGCCCTTATCTCTCATAGGGACCCTGAGCAGTAGACTATTTCTCTTCCATACAGATTTCAGGCTCACCATAGCCAAGAGTGATTTTACATTCATATTAAGCACTTTTCCTTACTTGTCTTCTCTTCCCTGACCTCCCAAACTGTTGGACATCCTCACCGAGTCTCCCACCTTTTCAACTGACAACCTATTCTCTTTCATTAGATGCATAAATATCCTCCATTTGATCTAATCACCTTTTGTCATTAAACCTTCCTATCAATCCCTATCCTGCCCCATTTACTCCCCCTCTTTCTATCCCTTTCACTACCATAGTATCTAATAATACTATAACCACTGTAATACAACATTTTATTCTAATAAAGAACCCCTTTAGACCCCTTTCACCACAATACTTTACCCTGGTCCTTTGATGTCTAGCACATTTATTTGTTTAAATCATTTTCCACTAACCATAAGGTCCATTAAGTCTTGCTCCATCATCAACTAGCCTATCCAGAATTGACTTCTCTGTTTTTCCAACCCCTTCCTCTCTTTTGATCACAACTTCGACCACTGCTACTACTACCTCCTCTCTACTGTGCTGTCAACTTGATCCATTCTGAATCATCTACCCAAGCCATTACTCAAATTTCAGAATACATTTCTCTCTGTCTCCCAACATCTTGCACTCCCTCTTCTCCTTCACAGTCTTCTTAATTTTCTACCCTCTCCTCCCTTATTACTACTCATCTTTATTGTCCTCCTGTCTGCGGTATTGTCCTCTCGTCCTACGACTTCCACCTCAGTAAACCTTTTGAGTACTCATTTTAAACCAGCCAAGAGGGAGCGATTTCTTGTGATTTCCCCTATAGTCCCTCACTCTGACAATACCCTCCTCTTCCAACAAGATCTCCAAAAACAGGTAGGCAAA